TGATTATTTAAATTACAATAAAATAATTTTAATATAAATGAAATATTTTAATGTATTTGAGACGATTTTCGATAATTCAGTTTAAATTTTGATCTTAATAAATAAAACATTTTCGATAAATCTTTACACTAGAAAAGAAGTACATTTCAAAATCGTGACATGCTAAAAGTTCTGTAAAGAGAAAGTAAACTAATCAGTAATCTGTAAATCTGAACTTTGGGTATTTTCGTTTTTGCACATTGAAAGTTCTTCATTAGAATTTAAAATTTCTATAAATTTCTATAAATAACAATAAGCAAAAAATTCAAAGTTATTTATGTTTAAACAGTATTCAAATTTTAAAATTTCTATGACATAAATGACATTGTTATGAAAAAAAAATTTTAAAATATTAAAATTAATATCATGCCGCAGCGAATATAAGAAATAAAAAGTAAAATTAGAAAATTTATAAAATTTAAACTTTTAAACAATGTTTAAAGAATAAGAAAATTTAAATTGCTTGTACTGTAAATTCAACATTCCATTATTACAGAATGAATTTCCGCGCAGAAACTTTATTATAACCGATTAATTTCGGGGCGATTTATATTTTCAGTATGTGTAGCATACTAATTTCGAACTTTTCATAAGTGCTACAAATTAAAACTATTCCAGGTTTGAATTATCGAAAATCTATAAGCATTTCTATGTATTTATTTATGTATTTATTTTTTAAATAATAGAAAAGTTCAATATATTACGATTGTAAAATTGATAAACTTCAAAATTGTATTTGACCAACTACTGATTGAATATTTTTTTAAAATAATTACAAAATTTACACATTCCTTTTAAAAATATTAATAATATTAATACAAAAATAAATTAAAAAACAAAATTTTAATTTATATTATTAATTTTTTTTTTTTGTTTTTTGAAGAGATTAATTAATTATGAAAACTTACAGGTTTTTCTTTATTTTTATTTTATTTAAAATTTACAATACAATTTTTGTTTCTTTTTTCTTCAAATTTTTAACTATTAACATGGCAATTTTTTGTATTTTTTGTGTAGTTTTTATTTATTTTTTTTTTTTATTTTTTCATTTTCCCTTACTAATATTATTAAAATTATTTAATCGTTTATTTATTTTGCGTTTATTATTATTAATTAATTCTTTTCTACATTTATATAAATTTGATATAAAATTGGAATATTTTATTTTAGTGTTTTTTTTTTCTTTTGTTTGTTTTTACTTATTTAATGTTCAGCGAAAGTGTTTTATTAATAATTTTTATATATTTATATTTTTTTTTTTAACTTTTTTTTTTTTTTGTTTTCCTTTAATGTTTTATAAAAATTTTGCAATAAAAATTTCTATTCTATGAAAATTTATTTAATTTTACATTAATTTTCGCTTTTTGTCTTTAATTTTAGGAAGTATTTAGCATTTCCTTATTATAAATTCCTATTAAAATTTTCATTTTTAAGAAAAAAATATAATTTTTTCTAATTAAATTTACAATAAAATTATTTATTTTAAAAAATTGAATAAAATGATTGGTTCACGTTTTCTTCCTAAATAAAAATTAATCAAGTAAAATTAAAAAACAATAAAAAAAATATTTTATTATTAAAAAAAAAAAACAAAAAGCAAACAATTTTGAATTCGTTTGGTTTTTTATGCCAATATTACATAAAAAATTAGAAAAAGTTTGTACTGATATCATTTTATAAATATATGGGGCTTATTAAGAATATAATTACAATTCTTATATAATTATCATATAATTTTCCGAAATGTTAAAAAATTTCTACAAAAAATAAAATATAATTATATTTTATTGCAAATATTGAATAATAAGTACAAACAATAATGGATAGGTTAGCAAAATTTTCATCGAATTTATTGAATATTTAAATAAAATCCAAATATAAAACAAAAATTTAAAAATTTTTATAAAATTATTTAAATAATTATTTTAATCATTCTTAGGCCATATAAAATTGAATCTAATTGAAAATTTTAATTATTTTAAAAGAAAAACTTGGATTTGATTTTACTTTGGAACTATTTATAAAATAATTTTATTTGTTGTCTCCTGATAAAATAAAAACACAATTTTATTGATTAATACTTTTAAGATTTCTTAAAATTATAATTTTCAACTGTTTACACAAAATTTACAATTATTGGTTCTATGATTTTTGTTATTTAATTAAATTTAATCTTTTTGGAACATAAATATTTTTTAAAAGTAAAAATGTATTTAAAAGTAAAGTAAATATGAATTTCAAATCATAAATTGAACAAACTAAGACCATTATACAAGTGCAATCAATTAATTAAACAATGTATTAGAAACTTTAATTAATATTTCTCTGATAATCATTCTTGTCATGAAATCTACTCGTAACATTGAAATTCGAAAATATTAGAAAATTCATATACATAATTCATGTAAGTAAACATGAAAAAAACAATTTTTTTTTTTAATTTCCTAAATTAAAAATTCTTCATTTTGTAAAATATTTTTTTAAACTCATTTTCTCTGTAAAAAAAATAATTTTCATATTCCAATATTAATCAAGAATTTTAAATATAAATATTAAGATGCCTCTTATTCATCAAATTAAATATTAAATGAATTCTGAATCTGATGAAAATCTGATGTACATACAGATATAATCAAAACATTTTGCTATCAAGGCTTTGACATAAAGCAAATAAATGTTTGATATAAAAACGGGTATTTTTGATTATGTCAAAAGATTTAAATGAATTGGTATTTTTGAAAAAGCAGTTCAAAAGGTAAGAACTATAAAGCTTTAAAAACTCTACATTTAATTTGAACATAAAGTATTAAAAACTTGGCAGTACTAATATTAAGAACTGCATTTTCAGAAATACTCAATTATTAATTTGTCTGTTAAATTATGTTGTGGTGTGAAAAACCTTGTTACTGTGATTCTACCCTAACTTTCTTTGAATAGCAAACAACTTTTCTTCTAAGTAGTACTTTTCTTTAGATTGTACTTTTTAATATTTGTACAATCAATTTTTCTGCTGTTAAAATTGCCAATTCTGTATTAGAAATGCAAATACAAATTGCATATTCAAAAATACCTAAAAAATTTGTCTAATATTTAACTGACAAATTTTAAAAGCTGTAAGAAAATTTTAATTTTGAAAGTTTCTCAAAAATGGAATTATCATTGCAAATTTAAAAATAATCTCTACAATTAATAATAATATTCAATAGAAATTCATGATAATAAAATATTTTTAATGACAAAAGTTTATATTTAAGAAATGAATGAAAGAAAATATTTGCATATTTATAAATGGATTGGGAAAATTTTTGCATTAATTTTGTAATACGATATTTCGATATACGTTCCATATTCAAAATTATTTTGAAATTAAATTAAAAATCTAAATGAGATTAAAACCTTTTATTAAAATATAAAAAAAATAATTTAAATAAGAAAGGAAAAAAAAATCTATTTTTAAAATAAATAAATTCACAATGTTTTTTATTTTGTTTTTTGTTGTTTTTTATTAATAATTATTATTTATATATTTAGATTTACATAGTATTTTCATTATTATAATTAGGTAATTTTTTTTTTTTTATTATTAAGATTTTTTTTTTGTATTTTACCGAACTTTAATAATTTAAAATAATTTAGCGAATTATAAAATTTTTTTTTTCGTTTTTTTTTTGTTTTTGGATTCAAAATTAAATATATATTTTTTTTATATAGGTAATACAAAGATTTTTGTTTACGACGAATAAAATAATAATTAATAATTAATAATAATAATTAAAAAAAAAAAATATTTTTATACATTTATATTAAATTTTTTGTCTTTTCTTTTTTTTTTTTGGTTTTTCTTTTTGTAAATATAACAAGGAATAATAGTTATATATAATTATTAAATTTAATTTTATTTGATTTTTTCTTTTTTAGTAATATAATTTTTTTTTTTCAACGTGTTAATTTTTATATAATATGCCCGGGTTCTTTAGGAGTTTTTGTTTATGATTAAATACATTATTTTTTTGTTTTAAAATTTATTGAAACAACCGTATTTTTTTTTTTATTTTTTCTTTTACTTTAATTTTCTTTTAATTAATATTGTAATTTAATTTATTAGCATTAAATATTGTATTTTTTTCTCGTTTTTTTTATTTCCAAAATTTAATTTCGTATATATATAAATATCTAGATATCTTAAGGGAAAAATATTGAATGAAATAAAAAAAAAACAATAAAATCAATTGTAGAGAAACATTAAAAATAAAATGAACAAATGTTATTTTTTATTTAATTTAATTTTTAAATTTCAGATTGTACATTGCAGAATGGAGCGATGATGCACTGCGATCTAAAGAAAATCTCTCTATTGCGATAATGTAGGGACGCGTATAAATGAAGCGATCGCGATATACGCAGGGTTTTATGAAAGATATCACTGAAACAAATCAAGTAATAGTAACATGGAATCAAGCGATAACGGCAGAGGTAGGACAGAATAACCAATTAACTGATCAAGCTGTTCCGATTGTGTATTTTGTAAAAATCTACCGTATTATATTACTACGAACTTCATGGAAAATTACCCAGCAAGAATTCCTACCAAAGCAATCCTTTATTGCAATACGGAAATTCAAATCTTGAATAAGAACGATCTTATCCCGAATGACAGAAAGTGGATGAGATCACCAATGGATTATACTATTATCAGGTGTTGTCTGTAACTGAAATGTTACGAAAAATTCTTGGCAAGAAAATATTCAAGCTTGATTCAATAGGAATAGACAAGTTAATTTTTAATTATCTTTACATTATATTTGTATACATATAATACATATATATTTTCTGTTATATATATATATATGTAGATATATATATAATGTATATATATATATATATATATACACATTATATTTCAAAATATAGAATATATTTTGATATATAATATTTTTTACAAATTAAGAATAAATGTTTTAACATCTTTAAAATAAAAAACAAAAAAATTATTTTCTTAATTATTAATCTACTTAATTTGAAAGAAAAATAGAACATATTTAACATTTTTATATGTTTCTTTTTGTTTTAAATAAAAATTACTTGAATATAATTATAAAAATACTTGAATTCAATTAAATTAAGAATTATTAAGAGAAATTTTTGGTGAAACAATAAAAAGCTTTTCAATATAGCCATCTCGAACGTCTATCTTCCGCGGTTTATCTTCGATTGTGGATACGAATTAGTGTTTCCTGAACGATGGATATGTGGACAGAGTGGTCCAGTTTACGCGACTGGTTCTAGTGTTTAGTACACTGATGGCTTAAAATTCATCAGTGTACCAAACACCAGAGTATCACGGACTTGCAAGTGATATCTCCGGGTACTTTTTTTTAAACTAGAATAACGTAAGTTGGATATGGGAGGGCTACAATAAGCCATTCCTCTGCCTATCGCTCTCTTCGGTAATGTACAATCTACAGTTTACAATTAAAAGTAATTTAAAATTTAAAATATAATTCTTTAGTTTTGAAAATTCATTAATTAATTTATAATTAATAGTAAATTTAAAAAACTATTGTAATATCAAATTTATTTAATTTACATACATATTTTAAATAATTTTAAAATAATTTTAATTTGAAATATGTATAATTTAATTTTCTATTGCTATTTTGGCCGCTTCTTAGTATGTCGAAAATTTGGCGATCAAATCAATCACGCTTGATTTTGCAAATTAAGAAATATTCGCAATTGACATTATAAAAATTATTCTAATAAAACGAAAAAATTTGATCTTTTAAAAAATTAAAATTTTCGTTATTCATTTTGTCACACACGAAAATCACTAATGCATTTTATTGTACGTTCTGCAATGTACAATAATGCAGACTTTAAAGAAAATACTAAAATAATAATTATTTGCGTTGGCAACCTATATTGAGATTTGTCGTACGTACGTCATATCACCTTATAATTCATGGTTAATGTCGGTTCCACGCATTTGATACACTGAGAAACGGCCATTTATTTGGGTCTAAATATTATGAAAAAATTAATATTACAATAAAAAAATTATACAAAAATGGAATGGAATTAAATTATTCAAGGCAAATTGAATTTCAAGCTAAAAAGAAATGTGGTTTTTTATTGACATTTTAGTTTACTAATGGAAGTTGTTAATTGTGAAACTCATTGAATTCTAATAAAAGATTTAAATTAATTTAGTAATTTACTGTTAAATTTAATTTAAATGATATTTTTAATTGTATTTATTATAGCTATATTTAAAAAGATGTTAAAACATCTATCTATCTATCTGAGATGAAAATCGTATTAAATTTTTTTTTTGTTTTTCTTTTTTTTTTTTTTGGAATTAAGGGTAAGTAATTTCGTTTGTTTTGTATTTTTAATATTTTTTTTTTATTTTATTTTAAATCAGTTCAATTTCGTTTTTGTTTATTAAAAACATTTTACAATATTAAATAGGTAGCTATATGTTTTTTTTGTGTAATTTTTTTACATTTTTTTTTTATTTTTTTATTCAATTACTTATTTATAAAATTTGTTGGAATATAAATTATTTATATTAAATTTATTTATTTAAAAAAATTCTTTTTTTTTTTTTGCTTTTTATGATTTTTTTTTTTATTTAATTTATAACCTGAATTTTGGATAATGTTTATTTGGATTAACGTTGATTTTTTTTTGCGCTGAATATAAACTATATTATTTATTTTACTTTAAATTTGATTATTTTTCTGTTTCAGTTTTCTTATCTTCTATTGAATTCCGATTTAATAGCTACAAGTACAAAAAAAAAAAGAGAAAATGTTAAAAAATTATAAAAAAATAATTGAAGGATTAAAAATGGAATTAATTGGAGGATTTTTTGATTTGGTTTTATTGGAATTAATTGGATCTCTTGATTTGGTTTGGTTAATATTGATTCAATTGATAATTGTGCGTAATTGCTACCTTCTATTATTTCTTGTTTTGCTTTTTGAATTTCTAATCGCATTTCTCTTACTATTTCAGCCTTTAAACTATCCAAATCCGCTGATAATGATAATGATAAACCTTCACCATTGACTTGCTAAAATACACAATAAAAAAAAATTTCAAGATTAATAATTTATAATGAAAAATTTTTGTGATTCAAATAAAATTAATTCAAGTTGAATTGAATTTGACTTTATTTTAACATTTTGGTGTAAACACTAGCAAAATTAATTCTCTTTCCGACAGGTTGTATTAAATTGCAAAAATGTCAAGTTGATGTCAAAACTTTAATTTGTTAGACATCCATATTAGGTAAAAAAAAATATTACTCTTCTTGAAATAAAAATATATAACGTAAATATCGTAATTTCAAGAGGTCTAGAGTGTTTGCTTTTAATATTATTTGAAAATATTTACAAAGCTGGAAATCAATGGAGGCCAATGCTTTATATATATACAAAAGTTTTTATACTAATTAAAATTTTAATTTGCAGCAAGTTTTAAACAGTTTCCAATTTTACAAGGTAAGTAGAACTAAGGTACTTTGTCAAAACTGATTTCAATTTCGTGGTAATACTTACTGTACTAATACAATTTAAACCCTGTTAATTAATAGACTTGAGTAAAACAATATTACCATGATTTTGAAATCAAATGTAACTACATTTAAAAAAAAAACGCTACACTCCACAAATTTTTTTTAAAACTTCCTAAAACGTATTTACGAGAACGTACATGTACATATACTGTAATTTTTTCTCAACTACACGTAAAATTAAACACTCTATAAATTCAAGTTTTCAGAATAAAAACCTACCTATCTATATAACGTACATACTTGAATTTTTAAGTTCTTTTAAAATATTACACTACTTACCTTAAGTATAGTTTCTTCGCTGGCACTTCCGAAACGCTTTCTTATAGGTCGCGGTGATTCATTACCGCTATTAATATTACTATTATTATTAATATTATTGTTATTACTACTAATGGAATTAGAACCACCTCCTAGTTTATGGGGTAAAGTATTTGATTTTTCCCAAGGTCGTTGTTTGGATTGATTTTCTTCGCCCGGTTCAGGCTATACCAACAAAAAAATTGTTAATAAAAGGAAAAAAAAAACACAAAACCCACGTTAGCAGTTTTAAAAAGACAAATTAACAAAATTTCAAAAGTGTGAAACAAAAAAAAGTGTTAAAATTATTGGACATGCTTCTTTCTTTTTGCTGCCTTACTAAATAATCTATAGGTACCAAAATTTTAAGTGCTAAAAACAAATAATAATGTTACTTACATCCTTCTTTTCAGCTTGAGCTCTTCGACGAGCTAAAGTTTTTGCCATTTCATCCATCATAGAAGCCATACCATGCGTTGTGCGTCCTATAGTTCCATAATTTCCGCTTCCACCGCTTGATGTACTGCTACCGCTATTTTCAGTTGGTGGTGGTGTAGTCTAAAAAATAAAATACAAGATATTAAAAAGAATTTCTTACAAAAAATGAATCAAGAAAAATATTGTTACCTTATTATTTTTCTTAAGTCTTGCTTGTTGTAATTGTGCTGCTAATGAACCTATACTATTATCATCAGATCTTGCTGCTAAACCACCCATCGGGGGAGGAGGTGGTGGTGGTGGGGCACCTACTGTTGGCCCATTACTTCCACTATTATTATTTAACATCATTGGTGGCGCTGGAGGTTGTGGTGGACACAATGGGGCCATTGGAGGAGCTGGTGGTTGTGGAGGACCTGTTGAATTATAATTATTCGATATTGGTCCAAAACCAGCTGGTGGAGGTGGAGGTGCTACCGGCGGCCCTCCTCCTCCTCCTGCTCCACCACCTCCTTGTATTCTTCCCATTATTGGTGGTGGCATTGGAATATTATTTGATTGTGCTTGTTGTTGTTGTTGTGGTTGCTGTTGTGGTGGTTGAGGCTGCATCATTGGTGGAGCCATCGGTATTTGTCCATATGGACCATCCGTTGTTGTTTGTCCATTTGTCTGTCCGTAACTATTTAATTGTGGTGGCATCTGTTGCGGAGGTTGTTGCTGTTGTAAAATTTGCTGTGGCTGTTGCTGTGGTCCTACAGATTGTTGGCTAGCATATACTACACTATTCGTACTGGCCGATGTTGGAATACCTGGATGTTGTGATTGTTGTTGCTGTTGTTGCGATTGTTGATGATTTGTGGGTAAATAAATTTGATTTCCACCATTTTGATGTGGTGGCGGTTGAGGTGGTGCCTGATTTAAATTTGCATTAGAATTTGATGTGATAAAAATTGGCTGTTGATATTGCGACTGTGTTTTTTTATTTTTAATGTTGTGTCGTTATTTATGTTATTTATGTTTGATGAATAAATATTGTTAATTTATTGTTGTGTTAATGAATATTTAATGTTATGTACAAATGTTTAGTAATGTTTTTAATATATTTTTAAAAATTTTGATGTAAAATTGTATTTGTTGTTTTTTAATTAAAGAGCAAGAAGCAAGCATTCTCAAGCAATTTTTTTTTTATTTTGTTAATTTTTAGTGAATTTTATGACCAATTTGATGATTTTTTTTAATATATTTCGTCGAGAGGAAAATCATAGAGAACATAAAAAGAAATAAAATAAGAAAAAATAATTTAAGAAATTTTTATGATGAGATTAAAAAATAAAGTTCATGAATTTAGAAAATTTTATAACCACATACAAGAATACAATTCTACATAACATGCAAATACATACATAATGTTCTTATGTAAAATAGTGTAAATATTTTTAAATCTACGATTACAAAATTATGCAAATAAAAAATAATATTAAAATTAACTTTATTCTAATTAAATTTAACGTAATTAAGTTTAAAATCAATTATAATTGAAAAAATTAATATGATAATTTTAGTAACTAAAGCCTTAAAAAATGAAAAATATACAAATGACATCCAAAAATTAAACAACAAACAAACAAAAAATCACCTGATTATAACTATTAAGCGAATGCTGTGAAGTATAAAGGGGATGATGTGGTGGCGGTTGCTGTGATAATTGTTGTGGCGTTACCTGTGGTGCATGATATTGTGTCACTTGTTGTTGTGGCAATTGTTGTTGTACCTGCTGTTGTTGCTGCTGTTGTTGTACAACTTGTTGCTGTTGTATTATTCCATTCATCATTCCTTGTGGCGGTTGCTGTTGTTGCTGAGATTGTTGTGATTGCTGCTGTTGTGGTTGCTGTTGTTGATATAAATTCTGTTGTTGCGGCATTGACATTTGTGGTGGTTGAGGTGCCGGTGGTGCACTAATAGAATTTCTTTATAATTTTAATAATAATATTCGAATTTTTTTTTTTTTTGATGTTTTAGAGATGAAGATGAGGTAGGAGAAGATATATAAAAAAATTTTTTTTTGAAAAAAAAAAAAATATATAAAAATAAAATTAAAATCACACAAGACACAAAACTATTGTTATTAAAAAGGTTAATTAAAATATTTAAATTTTTTGTTTTTTGTATTTTTTTTTTTCACATATACTCTGAAAAAAAGTAATGGGAAGGTAAAATAAAATAGGGGTTTAATAATTACACCTATATACAATATGTTTTTTATAGTTTGAATCAAAAGTGCTATAAAATATTTAATTATATTATTAAAGTGCTTTCTATTTTCGGATAAACTGAATGACATAAGAATAACATAAATTGTGAATATTTCATAGGAAAATCGAATTTGACAAAATGAAAAATTTCTAGGGGACGCTAGATATCAAAAAGGGAGAATGATTTCTTCAGAAATGACAATTACTTTTTGAGCGTACAAAAGAAAAAGTTTTAAAATAATTGAAGCAAATTAAAGAGCAGCAAAAAATTTAAAAAAAAATTATTTTAAGTAAAATCAAATGTAATGTTATTTAAATTAAAAAATAGTAAATAAAAATTGGATTTCAACGAAACATAAGTTTAAAAATAAAAATATAAGCAGCTGAAAACTAAAAAAAATTGTTTTGTCTTGTGTAATCAAATAATTAGAATAGAAATTATAAAGAAAATATCAGAAAATACTTAGTACAAATTTTACAAAATAATTTTAAAAATAAATTGTTATAAATAAAAGATGCAAGCGTAAAGCTAAAATAATTTTAATAAAATAAAAAAAAAAATCGTTATTTAAATGTAATATTTTTAATTCTAATGTGGGGAATTGCAATATTTTAAGAAAATCATTCAAAGAATATGCTCGAAAATATCAACTTACTAATCTAAAATAGACTAAAAACTAAAATTAATATTTAACGTCAACTTTACTTATTTAGCTCTACAATTTTAATTGACATTAGATCTGGATTTTGGAAGATGCTCTTGTATTCTAAAATCTAATTTATTTTCTGTACTTCATTGTACGAATCAAATATTAAAATTAAAATTGCATTCAGGAAAGGCAGTGTAATATAAAAATTCAATTACAATTTGATTATAAAGCAGAATATTTATTTATGCTCAACATTCTAATCTCTTAACCTCAAAAAAACAAAAAGCCCCAATAATTCTAATAATTTATTTTACCGACAACCTTTTATTGTTGATAAGGATTTCTTTTTTATAATTATTTTCATAGCTTTCACATAAAACTTAGTAAGTACAATAATTATAAATTCATAATAATCTAAAAAAGAAACCTTCCATATTTTCATTTTATTTCGTAATTTTATAATTTTTTTTTTAATTTCAAAATCACAAAGCATATTTCGATAAATTATAGAGGAAGTAAAAAAAAAGAAAACCTAAAACAACTATAAAAATATGATAAAAAAATTTCATTTGAATAAGAAATTGAATGAAGTTTCAACAAAAAAGCAAAATCTCATTTTTGACCAGTGCTGTATTGTTCGTTCATATTTGAATGAATCATAAAAATTGATTGCAATTAAAATTGATAACACTTAAACTTGAGGACAATAAAAAAAAAACTCCAATTGTATTTTTTTATTAATAAATTATAAATATTTAAAATTGAAAATATTTTTTTAAAGCTTGTTGTCATTTCTGGTTTTTGAATTTTATTTTAGATTCCGACGAGGAATTTCAAATAATGCAATGTAGCTTTCATAGCTCAAATTAATTACAGCCACAATTCGAAATAGGAGAAATTTCAAATATGCGAAACACAATCAAATACTTGGTAACGTTTCAGGTTAATAAAAAATAATTTTGATCAAAGGTGGATTTCCAATTTAAGGGAGAATGCAATGAATATTCGAGAATTAAGAATTAATATTGAATGTTTTGGGATGTTGTTAAAACAACAAATATAAGAAATATAAAAGGGATAATTAAAATTTACTTAATTTAATTGAAATTGTAGAATCTGTTTTAATTAAGGAAATATTTACTACTTAATTGAGTAAAAAGATTTCGAACTTCGGTCAGCATATCTACATCTATTAACAGAAATAAAGAATTTGAAAGGAACCTACCCTTAGAATTATAAGGAATCTTAATTACTTAAACTAAATTTTTTAATACTGAGAAAATAATAATTAAATAATTAATTATTGTCAGTCCATTATACATAATTTTCATGCATTTCCAAAAAAAAAAATATTCTTAAAAATCTATTACTGAATACAACCAGTTCTTCAAAAATATAAAGACAAACTAACAATTTTCAATGTTCACATCTAATTCTAGCTTATGACTAAATATATTTAAATTTTAAAATTGCAATAATAGTTCAGCAACTGCAACTCTAAAATTACATGCGTACATAAATTCGCACAATTTTAAAATATTGCAATTTTAAAATCAGAAATATTGGCTTAAATGAAAAAAAAAATTTAATTTTTCTACACATCACTTATCATTTTTACTACAAAAAAAAAAAAAAAATGTTCGTAATTCGAACCTCCTTTTCATTTACAGAAAAACAAAAATTTCTATGGTGCTTGATCTATCCGGAAAATATCAGAAAAATATTCTAAAAAGAAAAGAAAATATTGCCGACACCATTTAAAAAAAAAATACCTGCTTGTACGATGATGACCCTGTTGTGCTGCTGGTGGACTTTGTGGTATATTGGAATTATTTTGTGAAGTTGGTGTCTGCGCTGATGGTGTTGTTGTACCAGTTAAATTTTGTTGCTGTTGTATAATTGCGGCATCTTCTCTAGTCATTGTTCTATAACCCATATCCTCTTCATATATATTACCATTTGTTGGAGGTGGTGCTGTATTCGGTATAACACGACCACTTAAAACCTAAAATAAAAACAAATATTATAATTATCATATTTATTTATTTCATAATTTTTTTTTTAATTTTAAATTATTTTTTATATTTTACCTCTAATGCATGCATCATTGCTCTAGCAAATGCTTCAGCATCTTGTTGACTTGAAAAATTCAAACCATATACATGTTTTGAATCACGCCATTGATGAAATGTTGGTGTCGCTTGATTATATTTTAATCCTTTTAATATTGAACAATTAATAACAACTTCATGATCTTGTAATTTTCTACCAACAACACGGAATGTATTATTTTGTTGATGATGATATATTTGAACTTTACTTAGGCCTGATGATGTACCAGATGGTACCCATTTTTTTTGACCATCATCATATACCATTACAGAAGCCCGAGCACCAATTATACTTTGTTCACTGGAGAAAAATTAAAAGATAATAAAAAAATTTTGAATTAGTTTTATTTAAAAAATTTTTATATTTTTATGTAAGAAAAAAAACTTTTAGGATTTTAAAGAATAACTGCATAAATCTCTATATGAGGTTTTTCATTTCATAAATCGATTCAATCGAAATAATTAATCGATTTGAATCGATTAAATTTAAATGGCTACATAAATAACTATCTTTGACGCAATATTTCTCTACAAATAATTATTTTAAAATTTTTATATTTTTGTTTTATTTAATTTTAAATATAGAAAATATACCAATAATAATAATTTGAATTTCTATTATCCCAATATGATAAATGACCATTAAAATTATCGCCATATTCATAAGTATAACCAGCTTCAAGCGAATCTTCTTTATTTTTTATTCCATTATTATCATTAAGTCTATTACTATTGTCATCATAATCATTTTTATTACTATCACAATATTTATCATCACTATTATTATAATAATAGTAATTATTATTATTGTATAACAATGAATTATGATGTGTATTATTGTTGTCATATAGAATATTATCACTTCGAATATGATAATTATCATAATAACTATTACTACGATAATAATTATTATAAATTAATTCTTTTCCACATGATGATGATGATGTTGATATTGTTGATGGTGTTGGTAATGGTGATGATGATACTATCATCACAGAATTATTTTTATTATTTATGCTATTGTTACTATCCTTTAAATTCTTATTAAATATTCGTAAAGGTTTTTGAACTTTTATTAAAGAATTCCTTTTTATTCCTATTAAATTTGTATTATTGTTGATATTTGCAACTGATATCATTTGATTATTATAACATTTATTATTAATATCAATATTATTAATATCGTCGGCGTTGCCAATAGCAATAATTGATTTATTAAATTTTATTGATTCGACTGTACTGTAGGAATTTTGTAATGGTAATATTGTTGTATTTCTACAAGATGTTATATTGTTGTTGTCACCTGTTGTTGTTTCTGCTGCTGCTGATAATGAAGATGAAGTGAATGTTGACATTGAAGATAGTGCATTAAATATATAATCATCTTTATTTCTTTCCATTATTATATTACCTTCATTTTCATTCTGTTGCTTATGTGGTATAACTGAAGATGTTGTAATAAGTGGTGTGATTGTCTGAGAAGAATTATAAAGATTTTCTGAAGATAAAAATGGTTTTTCTGGAACACAATATTTTTGCGTTTCTCCTATTGAATTATTTGATGTATTTTCGATATTTTGCGGAATATTTCTGAGTTCTTGAATAGAGTAATAATGATGTTCTGGTCTATTATATTTTGTTGAACATTCTTTAGAAATATTCGATAGCATTCTAGGCAAATCATATTCTTCCATAATTTTGTGTTTTTCGAATGGTAGGAGCGATTAAATGTTGGTAACAGCAAATTTTAAGTGATTTAAAAACAAATTTTATAGAAAATCTTGAATTTATTCTAATTTCCAATCAAATTTAAACACAATTTTTTTTTTAATTTTTCTAATTCCTTAACCAAAACCAAAGGAGTTGGAGCTCTAATAAATTATTTAAAGAACATTTTTGAATCAACTGATTTTATTCTAAAATTTTCTAAAATAAAATTTCAAAAATATTTGTTCAAAAAATAATAGATTGCTTTAATTTTTTGTCAAAATAATTTTTTAAAATAATTTTTTGAGAGAATGAAAAATTTATAAAATTTTATTGTATTCAGAGTGAAAATTTGTTATCGACTAACTTGTCGATGCATTTTGTAATATTTAGAAAAAAAAAATTGGTTTCTTGCAAGTAATTTTTTTTTTAACTCTTACATCTACGTATTTCTTCTTTTTCTTTTTGTGTATGTTTCTTTAGAAAAAATAAGATAAGAAATGTTTCTTTAGTTGTTGTTATTCTCCTTTAATGAAACTTTTCATTCATGATATGAAATTCATGTTATAATAATGCACTGAAAGAAGTTGTTGCTTAAAAATCTTAAAAATTATGGTATTGTATTATTGTATTATGAAATTTTACTCTTACTTATTATAAATAATCAGAAATAGAATTTGGAATAATAAGAATATTGTCATATTATCAAAAGTATATGACATTTAACAAGCAATTTTTAGGAAAATAGCCGTCGCCATTTCTTCACTTAAATAGACGCTATTCCTTCACTTAGTTGGAACAGGATATGGAGTTTGTGTTACCAATTCTTGTAACTAATTCTTATAAGTAATGAAATCGTGATTGGGCTGAATAAAATCCCGTTATACAATATCATTTAGTAGGACAATATTGAATAGGAGATTTTTGTGAATCTACATAAAAAATTCAAGTATAATGCAACATGTTTGATTGATACTTTTTATTATGATACATGAATGCAACATGTTTGCCTGCTTAAAAACTTTTTATAATTCCAATTATAATTACACATAGTTTGTTTATTATCTCATAATAATAATTTATTATATTCTATTAAATATAACTACAGTACCTAGAGATACGTGGACAATTTTATAAAATTTAATTGTATAAAGCATTAAATGCATTTCTCATATCTGAACCTATTCTTACCAAATTGCCAAATTATTTATCGTATATTTTTTAACAGTGTACTATCGAAATTTTCGTTATTTACTTTCAATTACATTATCGAAAGTTTATACTTTTGGAATGTATGTTTTTCGTTTTAATTTATGATAAAAATGAAAAATATATACAATATAATTTGGTGATCTGAATGGGCGCACGAGTGAAGCGATATTTCGTGATTTTTTTTTCTCTCTCTTTCTCTCTGTGTAATGAAAATTAATGTAAACACTATTTTATGAAAATTAAATTTAAGTTGAACATATCAATTAACATAATATACTTAAATATGTAGTTTAATTTAACACTGACCACAACTAGTAGAAACCATTTTATTATAAAAGATATGCATATATACATGTATATGTACATACACATAGCATACTATTTAAAATTATCAGAAGTTTGAGTGTGAATGCTACTAATTGAATAAATGTTATAATATTAGGTGGCATTTAATAAAGAATTTCATGAATTTTTTTTTGATTATAAGAGGTCTAATAAAAAATTTCATTTTAATTTTTAATTAATACTAATTTCTTAGTTAAATATGACGACAATGCAGTGCAATCCACATTATCAAGTACATTCTGCAAGCACATTCTCTTTTTATTCACAAATTTTCAATTCTCTCTTAAATTTCATACAATTTTTCATTCAAAGTCATAGTCTTTATTAAAATGAGAGTTAAGTAAATTTTTGAGAGAAATTATAGGACAACAAATGTTTTTGTCTACATTTTTAGTTTTGTTTCATCCAAATTGCAGTTCAAAAGGTGCTAAACATTAGAAAAAGGTAAATTTATTTTTTTTAATTATAACATTCAACACTCTAATTCTTAACTGTGGCCTAAAATCGCAATTCAACCAAAAACAAAAAAGTTTATACTTACAATAAATTTATTAAAGGAATTTAAACATTTTAAATAAATTTTTTAGACAATAGTATAAAATGATGGTGTAAGTGTAAACTAAAGCTACATCTGTACACATTCATCGATTATTAAAAAAAATAAAATTATTTTATTAATTTATAAGAAAAAAAAAACCCAAAATTACATAATACACACACTTTAAAAATAAATTGCAAAAAAAAAAAATTACTTCGTAGGTAGACTTGCTTATAGCTCTGGTTTCTGGGTAGTAGAAAATCTAGTGTAAGAAGAATATTTCAAGAATTTTATTTTAATACCTACTTATTTTTCAAGTATAACTTAATTTAATTAGGTGTTAAAATATAAATTGAACTTACTTATTATTGAAAGGTTATTACGTTCTTGTAAATTGGACCAAATAAACTAAATTGAAATTTACGATAAATTTTTGTGCAGGGTGCACCCTAGTGAAGAGTACGAGTATATTAAATTTGACATGGAGTTTACAATCACTTGTAGGGATTGTCCGCGGTACGAACAAGAATAAAATATATTCTTGGACAACTTTAAGACATGCCCGCCCACCCGATTGTACGATGACTTAAAAACGAATAAAGCAAATATCACCTAACTTTCCTAAATAGTTTTTTTTTTATCAAGGGCGACTGCTATTGGAATTGTACTAATTCGGACGGACAACAGATTAGCTGTCATGCAACTTAAAGAGAATATATTAAATATTTCAAAAACTAATCGTGCAAGTAAACCAAAGTCTGTAATAATATTTAGCTTTAGAATATAGAAATTTAGAAGTTCATATTTATTTGGAGTGGAGCGCTGTGTTTGCTGTTTCCCATTAAGGAAAAACCATTTTTGTAATTTCCATATTTAGTCCTATTTCATTAATAAATTTAATTAAAATTCAATTAGTCGATTAAAAAAATTAAAATTTTAAATTGATTATTTTTTTTTCCAATTATGTTAATTAATTAAATATAATATCACTTTACAATTATATTAAATTAATAAATTGAAAGTAAACCTAATTATAAAAAAAAAAAATTTTTAAATATTTGAACTTGAATAAAATATTATCTTATATGAAATGTGGTTACGGGATCGATTTTCTGTTATGTGATTTCTAACAGAGATTGTGAATGTTATTTTTATATTTATATGCGTATTATATTTCAAACACATGTACGCATACAAAAACATTATGAGTACATACATATAAATAATACATATACTTATCTACATATATAAACATGTATAAATATGTTTAATTGAAGGGTGTTTACAACTGAATGATATAATACAATCAAGAAGTATGATATTAATTCCCTACTCAGAAATCTCTATAGAGCAGAACTTTCCACTCATACAATTAATGTATTGTGTCTTATATAATATGAGAGAATAAGAATTGCAGATTGTAGGTTGCGAATCCATGCGATGATGCACGGCGACCTAAAAAATCTGTTGTGCCTCCCAAACACCGACCCTTCACATTA